CCTCTCCAGCAAGGAGAACAGTGAACAGCACAGCAGTAAATCTCAATCCAAAATCTCATGAGACTAGCAGTCAGAGGCACAGTGCCTTAGATGATTTGCCAGGACATATGAACTGCACTGCTAACTTTCAGAAATTGAAGACTAAAAGTAAATATTTCAGGACATTGTTTAAATAACATCTCTTCCTCATGTATCACCGATTTACTAACAGACATAGCAAACTGGATGTCAAACCACTTCCTAAAACTCAATCTATCCGAAACTGAGCTCATAATTTTTCCTCCCCAAGTGCCTCTTCCCCTTATTTCTCAGTCAGGATCAATAGCACCAATATCAACCCATCCCTGCATGCCAGAGTGCTAGGGGTAACCCTGGATTCTGAAACCACCCTTTCAGGCCCACATCCGATCCTTGTCCAAATCATGCCGCCTCAACCTCCGCAACATCTCCAGAATATGCCCCTTGTTAACCAATGATACCACAAAGCTCCTAATTCATTCCTTGGTTATCTCTCACCTCAACTACTGCAACTCCCTCCTCATTGGCTTACCTTTACATAGACTATCCCCCTCCAGTCCATCATGAATACTGCTGCCAGGCTCATCCACTTTACCAACCGTTCAGTGTCTGCTACCCCTCTCTGCCAATCCCTTCACTGGCTTCCACTCGCCCAATGAATAAAATTCTAAATACTAACAACAACTTAAAAAAGCCATCCACAACCCTGTCCCCAGCTACATCACCAACCTGGTCTCAAAATATCAACCAAACCGCACTCTTTGATCCTCCCAAGACCTTCTGCTCTCTAGTTCCTGTGTCATCTACTCCCATGCTCGCCTCCATGATTTCTCCCAAGCTTCTCCCATCCTATAGAACTCCCTACCCCAATCTGTCTGGCTATCTCCTAATCTATCCACCTTTAGACGATCCCTGAAAACCTTTCTCTTTAAAGATACATATCCTGCTTCTAACTAGTAAATTGCATTTAATTTCCTACATCAGCTCACCCCCCCCCCCCCCCCCCCCTCACAGCTATTACCGGTTGTATCACTCAACCCTTCCTCCTCGATTGTAAGCGCTAACGAGCTGGGCCCTCTGTTTCCTTTCACACCAAATTGTATTCTAACTATAATGTCTACCTTCATTTTGTAAAGCGCTGCTCAAACTGTTGGCGCTATATAAATCCTGTATAATAATAATAATAATAGATGTTTCCTGTAAGATAGCAAATCTTCAGGCTTTGGGTTTACATTAAAATTGAATTGTTTACTTTGTGATAGCTTGTGTACAGGTATTTATTAAGATTAATATTTTTTAATATGTCACATTCAGAGGGCCACTGTGGATGCATATATTCACTATAGTAGTTTGTGCTACAGCACTGTGGTGTTCTGGGTGCTGCTGGAGCACCTTGCCATCTGTACACTGAACATAGGGAGTAGCCTGTACCTCTGCTATTGAGCAAATGTTTTGTATTTCTTTCAGTGAATATAAGATATGCTCTGATTGGACAAAGCACAGGGCAGAAGCGGATGATGTCACAATCATCACCTTGTCTAACTAGAAAAATCCTGGAGTTCAGCTTTAAAGTGCACATCAACTTTTTATAGTGAGTTCAGCTGAAAAGGGTAGGTAAGCGTTCCGGGAAATCTGCTTATAATCCTAAATATCCATTAAAAAAAGATATAAAGCCCATTTCCAGACATTTTAACGTTAAAAAAAAAATAACACCAGAACAGGAACTAAAGGAAATGCAATTACAGAGACAGGGAAACAAACAAAACTCAACCAGAACCCAACAGTTTTATCCTTTCCCAGCTCTCCTGAAACATGTTTTTGTTGCTTTCTCTAGCTCTATTGGAGAGATTTACCATGCCTTTCTTTCCCTCTAGACCAGGGGTGTCCAACCTTTTGACTTTCCTGGGCCACATTTGAAGAAGAAGAGTTGTCTTGGGCCACACAAAATAAACTATCAATAAGGAGAGTTGATGAGTAGAAAAAGTCAGGCAGATCACAAGTTAACGATCACTGATATAAAAAATGTATCTATTTGATTAAAGCGGTTGTAAAGGCTCAAGGTTTTTTACCTTCATGTATTCTATGCATGAAGGTAAAACACCTTCTGTGTGCAGCAGTGCCCCCAGCCCCCTCAATACTTACCTGAGCCTAGGGGCAGACTGAGCATTCAGGCATTGCCCGAGGGCCCGGGGTCAGTAGGGGGCCCCGTGATAGGCTCACTGGGTATGATTCACTAAGCGGTATCTTACTGTATCCGAGTATGCGGTAGGATACCACATAGCATTAAAAAAAAAAAAAACGTTGAATTCAGCAAAAATGCTACTAAAATACCGCATGAGTTATTTTATCAACTCATGCGGTATTTTAGTACTGAAAACCATGCGTTCATGTTTCAGTTGTCAGTGGGGTTCTCCACTGACAGCTGAATGTAAAAGAAAGAATTGCCGGCACTTAAAAAATAATTTAAAAATGGCGTGGGGTCCCCACTCCATCCATACCAAGCCCTTCGGGTCTGGTTTGGATTTTCAGTGGAAGCCCCACACCAAAATTTAAAAAAGTGGTGTGGGGGTCCCCCCAAAATCCATACCAGACCCTTATCCGAGCATTCAGCCTGGCAGGTCAGGAAAGGGGCGCTGCCCCTTCTCAACCATACCAGGCCACATGCCCTCAACACGGGGGGGTGCTTTGGGGCACAGGGGGCTCCTCCCCAAAGCTCCTTCTCCCCATCAAGGGCCTCTTCCCCACAACCCTGGTCGGTGATTGTGGGGGTCTGCGGGTGGGGGCTTATCAGTATCTGGAAGCCCCCTTTAAGGAGGCCCCCAGATCCCACCCCCCAGCAGTGAGATGACCGGAAGCCAGCGTCAGAATGGATACTTTTTTTTTTTCTTCGGGTAGCGGCAGTGGCAGCCATCGTGATTGAGGTTGGATCTACTTCGGGGGACATTCTTTTATTTTTCTTCTTTTAATAAAGGACTTGTCAAAGCCTGTCTCCTGTCTTTTTTCACACTATACTTTTTTGTGAATGGGTAGCGGGTACCATGTACCCCGTACTCATTCACATAGGGGGGGCCGGGATCTGGGGGCCCCCTTGCTAAAGGAGGCTTCTAGATTCCGATAAGCCCCCCACCCGTAGACCCCTACAACCACAGGCCAGGGTTGTGGGGAAGAGGTCTTTGTCCCCATCAACATGGGGACAAGGAAGGTGCTTTGGAGGGGAGAACCCCCTCAAAGCACCCCCATTTTAAGGAATTTGGCCTGGTAGGGTTCAGGGGGATGTGGGGGTTCCCCTCAAAACCCATATCAAACCCGAAGGGCTTGGTATGAATGGAGTGGGAATCCCAGAACGTTGTTTTATTATTTTTTAAATTTTGTTTAATGCCCTGTCTATGCAGCTGAGCTGCAATATGTAGGTGGGGTGTTGTGTGGATGTGGTTTTGGCTTTAGTGTAGGCTGAGACACAGGGGGCCTCATTATCGCTTATTACCGGGGGCCCCATGAGTTGTCAGTCTGCCTCTGCCTGAGCCCCATCCAGATACAGCAATGTGCATGACAGCCCCGGCTGTCCCGGTTTCTGTCTCCTCATTGGCTGAGACAGCAAGTGGGAGCCAATGAGGAGAGAGAAGGGGCAGGGCCAAGTCATGGCTCTGTGTGTGAATGGCACCCAACAGAAAGGAGGAGCCAGGAGAGCCTGTGGGGGACCCAAGAAGAGGAGAATCCAGGCTGCTCTGTGCAAAACCACTGCACACAGCAGGTAAGTATGACATGTTTGTTATTTTACAAAAAAATAATGAACATTTAGTATCACTTTAATGAAACTTATTTTTTTGTAATATTGTCTATTATAAAAGTAAAAGAGGTCAATATAAAACTATTTGACACTGCTTTTGATAAACTAACATACCAATATCTGGTTCGACGGATGTAGTAGCAATTCTCAGTAAATTCTCAAGGTGCTCCTCAGATATTTTGGTTCTAATTTTGCCTTTTATGTGCTTCATTGTTGAAAATACTTACAAATACACAGTAGATGCTGCTGAAAACTGATGACATGAATAAAGTGTGATTGCAAAGAGTGGATATTTTTCTTTGGGAAGATAAAACTTATAAAAACCAGTAAAGAGACACTGTCTAATTTTTCTTTAGCTGCATGTGTTGGCTAAGCATAAATGCATTTTTACAAAGAATTCTGAAAAAAATCAACATTTTTAAATAAGTATATGATTTTGTATTGGGCTGCATTTATAGTCATCTTGGGCCGCATGCAGCCCGTGGACCACAGGTTGGACACCCCTGCTTTAGACCCTGGTACTTAGGCAGGAAGTGTAAATTAAATTCGCCAAGGGGGACACAGATAGCAATACCCTTCCACACGTTATATAAAATCTAGCAAACAGTTTTGTCTGGAGCTAGGCTTTATAAAATAAATATTTTACTTAAGACTACCGGTATATTTTGGGTTGGCAGAGTGTTGGAGAGAGTGGATTACCTCATTACCATACCACTGAATCTGAAATACCTTGGAATTGTTGACCACTTGCTCTTCAGAGGATTTACCCCCCTTCCTGACCAGGCTATTTTTTGCGATACGACGCTGCGTTTCTTTAACTGACAATTGCGCGGCCATGCAATACTGCACTCAAATGAAAATAGCGTCCTTATTTTCCCATAAATAGAGCTTTCTTTCGGGGATATTTGATCACCTGTGCGGTTTTTATTTTTTGCACTATAAACAAAAAAAGACCGACAATTTTGAGAAAAAAACTATATTTTTGACTTTTTGCTATTAAACATGTCCAGTGAAAAAATTTTAAAAAACAAATTTCGTTATAAATTTAGGCAAAAATGTATTGTGCTGCATGTCTTTGCTAAAAAAAAATCCCAATACGAGTAAATGAATTGGTTTACGTGAAAGTTATAGTGTTTACAAATGGCGGTATATATACTGGGATTTTTTTTTTTTTTTTACTAGTAATGGCGACGATCAGCGACTTATAGCGGGACTGCGGCGGGCATTCTGACACGGGGAGGAACTGACTTGGTGTCATGGACATCCCCAGTGACACCAATACAGTGATCAGTGCTAATAAAAAGTACTGACACTGTACTAATGGCACTGGGCAGGAAGGGGTTAACATGTGGGGCGAACAAAGGATTAAATGTGTGCTGTGTGTGTGCTTTACACTGTAATCAGTGTACAGGAGCTAACAAGGGAGAGATCTGTGTTGTTTATACATAGGTCTCTGTCAGGAATGGACTCACTACTGGTGGTGCTGTGGCTCACTTGCTCTGGGGGCTGCAGTACCAGCTCCTACCAGAGGGTGCTTTCAGCAGCCAGGGTCTCACTCCTGAAATCAAGCCATCACCTGAGGCTGATTGCAGGAGGTCTATTTAACCTCCCTAGCGGTATGATTATTTCAGATTTGTGGTGCTGAAAGCGGTACCATTATTTTGCATGGAAATATGTAGTTTTTTTATTGTAGGTTGTAATTTTTAGGAATAACTCACTGAAATCTGTCCGAACAAGAGTCTATTAAACATCCCAGGTATGATAAAATTTGAAACACGAAATCATAAATTATAATTTAATAAATAATCATAAAAAATAATAATATAATAATAATACATTTAATTCAATAATATAATCAAACCGAAAACACTGAAATTTGAAATAGAGCGCCAAGTTCACACATTGCTGAGCAAAGCCGCAAAATCGTTTTCAGTGTCTGATGACGAATTTCCCCACGAATCATTATCACTCAATTCTGCAAGTGGTTCTGATTTACTATCGCTGTTCTCTAGCTGATCTAAACCCACTTTTGACCTAAAGAACACTTTTTGGACGCCATGGACGTTTCTCAGTTTCCAGGCAGAAAGAACAGACAAAATGCAGGCAGGGCACAGGACAAAGCACTAGGGACAAATATGTATGTGAAATGGGTTGAAACAGCAATGTTTTACTATGTAAAATTTGGAAAAAAATGAAATGTTTTTAAATTTTCAAATTTCCCACCGCCGGCGGCGCCTGTACGTCCCGACGTCACAGGGACCGGAACACAGAAGCCGGATGCCGGCATCGGCCGGAGGAGATGGCCGGGGATGCCGCAGGGGACACATCGCGGGAGCGAAGGACAAGGTAAGCTCTGCAGGGAATCTCTATGCAGCGCCGCATGGTAAGCCCAAGTGTAGCTCGGGGTTACCGCTTTTGGTACTGACATTTTACCCCGAGCTACACTCGGGAATACCGCTAGGGAGGTTAAGCAGGACCAGGCCTACAATCAGTGCCTTGGTGTTTGTTTCCCATGAGCCCCTGTACCTGGTATCCTGTGAATCTTCTGTTGCTGACCTCTGCATTGTTCCTGACCCTGCTGACCGTCTCCTGTTTAACCCCTGGCTTGCCTGAACATCCTTCTGCCTGATCCTCTGTACCGCGCTGCCTGTGAGTTACTGAACCCGGCTTGTGACCCTGACCATTCTCTGCCTGCTCCTCCGGTACCTCGCTGCCCGCACGTTGCTGACCTGGCCTGCCTGACTACGCCTTACGCTACCCAGACAATCCATCCATCCCACATGGATCTGTCCCTTTTACCAGGTCTGCCAGCCTCTTCACATCAGGCTCCTTTCCCCACACACCTCTGATGACGCTCTCTACCATTGCCGGATGTACTCAGGGGTCGCGACCTGGTCTCAGTCTGCTCCAAGTCCATCCCCACCATCAGGGGCCCTGGTGAATAAGCAGATTGGGACTTAGACCCTGCGCCCTGAGGAACCCCATGCTGTGGGCTGCTAGAGATGCCATCAGGTGGTGCTTAACAGTACCAAACGGTCTGCCTGACCATTCCACCTCTCCAGCCCTGACTACACCTGTGTTCCCACACATTTCTGGTCATACCCGGATCCCTGACAGTCTCTCACCTGTCAGAGATATTCGGCGATCACCGGGTGCCGGCGAGTAATCACTGACAGGGACCCAGTGATTGACAGTCGAGGCCACGAATGGCGAGGCCTACCAAACTGAAAAATCACGTATGTATATATGTGATTTTGCGCACCCGTGCCGCCCTGTAGCAGTATTTCTGCTATAGGGCGGCATGGAAGCAGTTAAACAATTAAAGATCACCTGTTATTCAGTTACATCCCAGCTCCAGGCACAGTAAAAACATAAAGCATGCTCCCTGTAATCACAGGAAAGCTATGTGGTTTAGTTAACAGGAAAACCATGTGGTTTAGCTTGCAGCTGCACGGTAATTGAGAAATTCAAACACCTAATTCTACCGTAACGGCCTCTTGTCCACCAGCGTCCCTACGGCTTCTCTCTTTAGAGTTAATCACTGCTGACAGCTCGGTCACTGACACGCCCCTTTGCCCTTCTACGGTGAATGATAGCGGGACTCCAAAGCAATGGCAGATTTCAACCTAGAATAAAGGATACCTAGAAAGGTTGTTTCTAAAAAGCATTTGCAGATTCTTGTTCTGCGGCTAGTATGGTAAAATATAATCACATTTTTGGGCGCCTGGGGCCTTGTGCCTTGGGGATCCTGGATCTGAGATTTCATTCAAAAATTAGTCAGTTCACAACTCCAGGTTTTTTTAACAACTGTTGGCCGTTATTTTCTTCTCATGATTTGATGGGATGATTTCTCCTTTTTTTTTTTTATTATTTGATGGGATCACAGTACATTTAAATTTAAAAGATGTGTGTACTTATCATTGTGAAAGCAGACTTCTCAGAAAAGAAAGATAATGCACTTTATGGACAAAGTAAAAGAACACAATGAACTGGTGAGTTACTTCTACATTACGACTGTCAATCAGAAACCTCTATGAAAACATTTTAGAGAAAAGACTGTCCAATCAAACTAAATGCAAAGGCAAGAAAGAGGTGACAACCCATGACACGAGCATCTCTGATAGATGAAATGAAAATGACAGCAAAGGGAATACATATTTTTACCTTTTAATATAAAATCCATCTGTTGTAAAGTTATCTTATCCATTGTGATAGAAAGAATTTGGCAGTTTTTTTTAGTCTTTTTTTTAAAGAAATTTTAAAGTAAAATGTCGGCAATGACCAAAGGTCTTATGATTCACCCCTTTCCAAAATCACCTGCTTATAGATTGAATTGAGTTAAATAAATTTGAGGTATCCCTGAACATTCTGCAATGCTGTACAATTTTGTGAAAGAAAAAGCATAGACAAATTCAAACATAAGAAAAAATACTAATATCAAAGATGTAAGCACTCACCAAATAGGTGTCAAAACATGGGTTACTGTGCCTAGAGCTCTTCATTCAACTAGTGTTCTCCATTTAGCAAAGTTTTTGTTGCTTGTTGATTGCAGAACTATAGGTCTGACTCAACAGGGAGCATGTTGAGCCTCTACAGACAAACCACTGCTTTCATTTAGAGAGCAAGTATCAGGGAATTGCTGTGAGTTGCCTGGCATGCAGGCATGTGTATGCGCATGGTATTTTCCATAGATTGGTGACCAGGAGCATTCCTGCGTGCAGAAATGTTTGTGCACAGGAGCGCATCCACGGTCCTTATTGGCACCAGATGGCCTATTTAACCTCTTCATTCCAACAGTACATAAATATGCGGCCTCTCAGTGGCTGGGCCTTGACGCTGAACGGCTGCATATTTGTGTACCATTTGTAAACAAACGTGCTGAGAGCGCGTGCCCTGCATGGTCCTAGCACATGTCGGTGTCCCACTCTCCTTGGGATCGGGACCCTTCCGATTATGTGACTGCCGTGACAGTCACATGACCCTAAACCCTGCCCTGACTCCTGGTATCAGAAACCCCTTAAAGGGCCGGGAGATGCCAGCGTAAAGGGGTTAACCCTTTGAGGACCAAGGGATGTATTTGTCCCATGTTTTTAATTGCCTGTATCATCTGAATAAGAACTTTTTTTTTTTTTTGGTTTGAGTCAAAATATTAGTTCTTATCAACAAATGGATCTAGCTTTTTGCAAATTATTTCATGAAATGGCTTAGTTAAAGCAACTGAAGTGTACGAACTTTAAAAATAAAAAAAATTATTTTTTTGGCGTTCCGTAATCTTATGGTCCTCAAAAGGTTAAAGGATGCTCTTACCATGCTCATTGCTGACTGGTCTTCAGCTGCTCCTGTGTCCTGCTTGCATCTTGTGTTTGATCTCCGTTGCTGACTCAGCTTGTTACTGACCTGACCCTGGATCCTACTTACTCTTCTGCCCACTCATTCCTGACCTGCCTATGCTTCTGTCCCTTGCTGCCCACTCGCCTCTGACTTTGGCTATCCCTGTGACCACACTTCTGTGTACAATTTGGCTCCATGTTTCCTGCGAGTGCTTGCTCTAGCTGTCATCTACATCAGCTCCAATCATTGCAGTATGTTCCTGTCTTAAGCCTGCTGGGCCACAGGTCCAGAACCTGTGGTACATTTGGAATGCCCCTTTAAGCTCGGCTGGTCCATCTTGCATAGTTTCTGTTCCTGACCCGATGTAGGAACCAGATCATCTGGGCCTGTGTCTCCTAATATAAACACCTGCTGGCACCCATGTTCCTCCTGACCATTGGCACCATCTGTTCCACCTTCAGTGAGGCCTGGACTGGAGATACAAGAGAGCCAAACCTCATCATTTCAACCTCCTATCAGGTATGTGACAAGAAGGGCTTTACCCTACAGCTTGCTTGCTGGATACAGGCTATTCTATTAAGGGTGTGGCCGCTTTCAAATGAAAACAAACTGTAAGAGCTCATGCACATGTCTGAACAGTGTCATGCACAGTAGGATGACCAGTTGTCCCTGGTTTCAGGGGGCAGTAACCAATTTTCACTTTCAAAAGAAGTGTCCCAGATTTTTTACCCCAGTAAGAAGAATGTATCCTTGGTTTCTTTCAAGTTTTAATAATGGTGCCCCTGGCTCAAACAGCTGCAGGGTAATCCATTTTAGCTACAGTTCTCAGCATAAATGAGTACACCCCTTTTGAAAAGTAACATTTTAATCAATATCTCAATGAACACAAGATTGTTTACAAAACAATTGTTTAGCTCATTACAAGAAAGTAAGGTTAATAATATAACTTAAATTACAAAATCTTCAGTTTTACTCAAATTAATTGATATAAAAATGAATACACCCCACAAGAAATACTACTACATCTAGTATTTTGCATGACCTCCATGATTTGCACAGCACCAAGTCTTCTAGGCATGCAATGAACAGGTTGGCAACATATTGCAACATCTATCTTTTTCCATTCTTCAAGAATGACCTCTTTTAGAGCCTGGATGCTGGATGGAGAGTGATGCTCAACTTGTCTCTTCAGAATTCCCCATAGGTGTTTGAAGGGGTTCAGATTAGGAGACACACTTGGCCACTGAATCACCTTCACCCTTTGAAGTGGCCTTAGACGTGTGCTTTGGATCTTTGTCATGTTGGAAAAGTGCACGATGGCCAAGGGCACGGAGTGATGGTAGCATCTTCTCTTTCAATATAGAGCAGTACATTTGTGAATTCATGATACCATCAATGAAATGCAGATTCCTGACACCAGCAGCACTCATGCAGCCCCACAGAAGGACACTGCCACCACTATGTTTCACTGTAGGCACCATGCATGTTTCTTTATACTCCTCACCTTTGCGGCACCAAACAGTTTTAAAGCCATCAGTTCCAAAAACATTTATCTTGGTCTCATCACTCTAGAGTACAGAGTCCTAGTAGTCTTCTTCTTTTTCAACATGGGTCCTGACATATTCTAGGTGGGTTTTTTTGTGCATGGGTTTGAGGAGAGCCTTCCTTCATGGACGACACCATGCATGCCATTCCTCTGCAGTGTACGCTGTATTGTGTCACAGGAAACAATCAGCCCAGTTTGGGTTTCTACTTCTTTAGATAACTGCAGTGAACTTGCATGGTGATTTTTTTCAACCCTTCTCATCAGAAGATGCTCCTGTCGAGGTGTTAATTTCCATGGACAGCCCGGATGTCTCTGTGAGATGGTTGGAGTTCCATCTTTGTTAAATTCTTGTTTCACTTTTGCTACAGTATTCTGTAAAGAAAAATTTACAGTATTTTGTAAAGAAATTATTTTATTTCTCAGGCCTTGTGGCATTTCTCTTCCATGTGGTGCCATTGCTGACAGCATGAAATGGCAAGGGGTTTTCTTTGTTAAGTAATGCCCTTTTATAATCAACTGTCTGCTGGACACCTGTAGTCAAATTCTTGTTAATTAGGATTTTGTTGTCTAAAATTTAGCTTTGCTCCTAAGACTTTCATTGGGGTGTATTCATTTTTGCAACATAGTCTTGAATACATTTGTGAGGGAAAATTATTTTGTGTGTGTGTGCAAATTAAAAAAATCTTGTTTGCATTCAATGGTCCGCATTTGTGGGAGTAAGTTGCAGTATAATGTGCCATAGAAAATGTTGATTCTGAAACGAAAGTAAAGGTTTTCTGACAAATCTGTTGGGGCGTACTCATTTATGCTGACCACTATACATTTCTTTAATTGGCCTGAAGCAGGAGGAGTGAGGGGAGCAGTGTGTCTGCTCCTGGCTGTGTCTGAGATTATTGATGATGTCACATGCTGATATATTATGGTCTATCTATGCAGTCCCTGCCCTGAAGACATTTCTGTGGGAGGTAAGAATATGAATTATTTGCTGCCTTCCTTTTCTTCGTGATGATCTCTTGCAAAACATATCTGGGTCTGCAGCCGGTAAGTCAACACTACAGTATAGTAAACGGCCAGAACAAGGGGGTAGGTAGGTTTCCAGGGGGAGCAGCTTCCCTGTGCATATTGTTGTAACTTGGGGGCATGGTCAGTAGGGTGTCCCCGGATTTCATTTTGTGCAAGTGTCAAGATATCAGTAAAAATGAACTCTAAACAATAAGTAAAATCAGCACTGAGAGTGCATTCAGGTTTTTTCTCCTTTGAAGTAATTCAATTTGAATAATTGGAATTAATTA